GTCTTGACTGACTTTTCAAGAAAGCGCATCTTGTTAAATTGGCGGCAAGGTCTCCAGTTGAAATGGCGAGATGTAACCATAAGTACTATGTTAACAGTTTCTTCTATCGCAATTCTCACTTGTGAAACTCTCTTCCTGCTTCTTGCTTTCCAATCAACTTTGATCTTCAAAAATTTAAATATAATGTCAATCGTTATCTTCTGTCTTCTTAATTTTTGTTCTTTTATTGCTCTCTTTCTTTAATAGTCTATTTTACACATTCTCTAACACTCAATAATCCCCTTGGGTATTAGGAGCTTTATTACCTTGCTTGATGCGAAATGATTAAAAAAAAGATTCTACACATTCTCTTTATTTGATGGAGTGTTTTACTTGGAAACTTTGTTTTAATTGTTATGCTCTTCGAAATGATAATTTCAATTTATAGTCAAAAATAATTTTTATTAACAAACATACAGGACCTGAGACTATTATAATTTTAAGTGATATATACTTGTTTGGATTTTCTGTTAAATTAGACGATGTTTTAAGACAATTCCCAGTTACAATTAAATATTCCGGTATTTTTCAAACTGTTTTCCTCTTATCTCTAAAACGTCAGCTTCAGCAGTGTAATTAGTCTAAGGAATTATATCCTCATTGGGAAACTTACACTTGTAGCTTTATAATAGCTGAATTTAGTAAATTTTGGGTACCTCGCCGTAGAACAATGTTTAAAGAACTGTAATGAGTTTAATCCTGGCTGAATGCCCTACACATATAGTCCTGTGTTGCACTATGTTAAGTTTAGTGAATATCAATGAGTGTCTCGTAGTAGAACAATGCTTAACAAGTTAGCTTGTTACGGTCGTTAGTCCAATCATTACAATTAATGCCCTGACACAGACTTAGCTTATCTTATTACATACGTATAAAAATCATGTTAATGCTTGTGATTAGGTTAATTTTGCTTGATAAGAACTGATACTCTATGGAACTTGGTCAGCGTCGCCCTCTTGAAGAGAACGGTACGCCTACTATAAGATCTGATGAAACCCCATCTACTTCTATCCCCCTATCTGTTTGCGTCAAATGTTGCTTTTAATCGGTCAATGAAAATCCATATATATTTTATGTCAGTAGCATACGATAGCGGCTTCTATTCGTATATGTATTTAATTTATTTACTATCTTATACATAATATCGATTCGTTTTCGTTCTTTTTATACATATTACTGTCTGTGTGCGCGTGCTTTTGAGTGAATGGCCAAGACTGATGACGTTGTTTTCATGAAAGTCATCGTTCGTAGAAAGTCCATGCTTGACCAAGATTTAATCTTAACATTAGTTATTAGGAGTGTTCAAAATTTTCCAGCGTATTTTTTCTACTATATATTTAACTAGTAGTTTTTAGAAATGAGGCCACTGGGAACTTTTCCACGCTCTTAATATTTTCAACACTGGAAATCTAATGAGTCGCCTATTTCCACTGTGCACTTCAAGAATTTAGAAAATGAAAACGAATAACGAAAAATAAATATTATTCATATTATAAATTTGAAAATAATTTGTTTACGATTGTATGTTTATATTGGCTCTCTAGGGAAGTAATAACATTTTACTGCTATTGTCTAGGTAATTAAGATACTTATAGGAAAGAGGTTTTCCTAAATTTCATTCTCTTCTCCATCGGCTATCGTAACATGTCGGTGACTAAATATTCTTTGTGACATACAACGATGATGTGCTGCATAAACCAATTGTTTTAGTTGGCCCCACAGATAATAATTCCAAAGGATTGCAGTTGGGGGAATGTGCAGGACATTGTACCAGTCCTCCCCTACCTATCCATCTTACATAGTACATATCAGCTAGGTCTGGAAGTGTGTTCGAAATAAAGTTCTTGTAGACAGCTCCTATAAGATGTGCTGGGAGAACATATGGACCTACCAGATAGTCCCGTAAAATTCCAGTCCACACATTAATCGTAAACTGATGCCGATGTCTAGCCTGTATTGTACCATAGGGATTCCGATACGCCCACAAATGTTGGTTGTGTAAATTTGTTATTCCCTCTCTTTCAAATGTTACTTCATCTGTAAAAAAGACTAAAGAGACAAACAACGGTGTGATCAGAGGGAGAAAAACGCTGCACACATTGAAAATGATACAGATACAGGAGCTGCTCTTGGAGCATCCTCCATGTGGTACTATGAGATATACGAGATCTTAGGGCCACTTTATGTGTGCTGATACCTTTATCGTCTCCGACAGCCTGTAGAACATGTTCTTCGTGGTCTGGCGTACGAGCAGATCTCGGTCTTCCTCGATCCATAGTTTGTGGTGCCACGGATCCTGTCTCAGCAACTCGGCGATAAACAGCAACAAAGGTTGGATGACTCGGCTGCCTTCGGTCTGGAAGCACAATCTGATACAGCCGTACAGCCTCGCGTCCATTACAATTCACACGGACGATATGAATATCCTGCTATTGTTAAACGGAACACTTCTCAGTGAACTCATTACTACACTCATTAAACGTTGAAAACAGACTAGCCACAAATGTACACGAATGACAAATGTAACCTAGTCTACATGCAACACAGCGCCATCTACCGTAAACTTTTTTAAAGTTAATAACTCAAAACAAAAGATTTGAGGACATATGGTTATATTGATTTTTGTCCTTGTTTTGCCGTAATATACACTATATATATATATATATATATATATATATATATATATATTGTGACCTCTCCCGTTGTCTTCGACGTATGAGGGTCAAGCAGGATTCCTAGAAACCGACAGTCCAGACACCAGCATATATAATTTGCAGAACCAACCACACTTTTTGAAGGGTCGAATACAGAGACCTACGTGCAACAAGGTCCCCAAAAGAACCTCCGCAGGATTTGAATTCAGAGTTGTCCTTTTCCTAGACCAGGTGCCACCCAAGGCAATAGAACCCAGTCTGTCCTGCAATTTACTCATAGCTGGAGGGAGAAGAAGAGGATTCATACCTTTCCCAAGGGTATTAGCATGTAAGTGAATGTAATGGAATTCGAACTTGGCTCTCTGATTCCTCAATCGGAGCCGCCATCCACTACTCCACTCATATATATATATATATATATATATATATATATATATATATATATATATATATATATATATATATATATATATATATATATATATACCATTTTCGTCGATGTTATTTTCCTAAATATTCTGAATATTCGTTTTCTGTTTTATCAATACATTTCGACAGAGGTGTTCTACGGAGTTACACGTATATTAAAAGTCATTCATTCATGGATTTCTACAGGTGTCTTTTATATTCAGAGTTAGAACATTCTATACGAGATAAAAAAAAAAACCTTCGGGGAATTATATACCTAACGAAGACCGAATAACAAAATTATAAAAACAGCATGGAGGAGAATGCTAATCAGTATAAAACATTGGATAATGATGACAGATTATGAATATCAGACGACACTAAGAATAACTCTAGAATTAAATATATTTTATCGTGTTATTCGAGTTCTTTAATTTAATTTAAGAGTATAGAGACCTTGCAAAACACAGAAAAAATATTGTTAACGAAATTACGCCTAAATATCACGAAAACTCCAGCAAAGAAAATAAATATTTACTCTTTCCAAAGCAAGAAACAAAATGCTTTGTTTTCATGAATATTTATTAAATATAGTATAGTCCAATAAAAGGCCTTATGCAGATAGATACAGTTTTAAAAGATTGTGTAGGGCCAATGTTAACAAATACAGAGAATCTGCAGATCTGCCTTGAAAATTAGTAGTCAAAACACGACATCACTGTTAATCCAGGGGTTCTATATAGATTGCGCAGCCACAGAAGAGTATTTCAGATGATGGTCCCTGGGTCAGGCTTGGTTTTCCTGTGTATGTATACTGCGATATTTTCTATATTAATCATAGAAATATAGTGTTGATATTTTTAAATGCCTTCTCTTTGTTAATAGAAATGCAGTCTATAATAATAACACTGAAGTTTGTGATTTGATACATGCTTATTTATCTTCTCTTTTTCGCAGTGATTATGACATCTCAATATGACAAAGGAAGGGAAATCTTATGCGTGCTTTTTTTTAAGAATTGGAGTCATTTAACGCGCGACCTAAATCCAATAACTAACCTGGTGACCGAAGATCCATTTCTCAGTTAGAATTTTCCCAAGTGAGGTCAGGTTGTCTTCCTTACTTCCTCAATCCTTCACCAGGGGTCTCTCTCCCCTTGCTATAAATACTGGGGCACCTTTTTGCCTCCTCTCTTTTCCCCTCAGGCCTTGGGCCGTATCCCACCTCGCATAGAGGTGAGGTAATTCTTTCTCTTCTTTCTTCATTTCAGCTAATACCAATATGTGAACTCTCACCAATACAGCGTTTCCCAAATTCTGGGAACACGCTAAGACCTATACCAATACACGTACGTACGAACACTCACCGCAATACACACACATAATATTTACCACTCAAACTCAATGTAACTGTCCATGTGCTTGTAACTTGTTGTTAATACATATATTTGTTTATATATAATTATCGGTTTTGTTTGTTTTCTTTGTCTTCTTTGGACTTAATTAAAGTCCAACATTCTCATGTAGCTGAACCGGCTATCAGGAAATTTTAACCCACGTGTGTTCTTCACATCTTCACCCCACGGTCACCTACAAGGTCATGGGTACACTTTCTTATCCACTGCATTGATTGATTGATTGATTCGTTTTCTACGGTTTATCAACCCGTTTCAGGTTATTTAAAGCCAGAAAATATTTTTAGATTGTAATTTTTTGCAGTGGGGTGAAAGATAATAATAATTTAGTGATACAAGTCTTACATTGATTGGAAGAGAAGAGGTTGCCTTTCCCAAAGGTACTTGCGCCTAAGTGAATATAACAAACCCAACTGAAATTGGAACTCGGCTCCCCGATTTTCACTCCTGAGCCATTATCCATTACAACATCCACACATCCAAGCTTACTGCATCTGGTATTCCCAAACGGTCACCCATCTAGGTACTGACCAGGCTCGACGTTGTTTAGCTTCGGTGATTGAACGGAAACCAATGTTTAAACATGGTGTGTTATCCACTGATATTATCGAGAGAATCCTCCAATTTCTTGGTAACGCCATATAAAATTTCTATATAACAACTTTAAAAAGCGATCTCACGTCGAGTGCCGTACTGAGTAAGTATACAGATCCTTCGACACAAAGAAATGACCATGTACCATATTTTATATTTGCAGGGTAGTAAACAGTGCTTCAATTTTAATTATCGCTACATTCATCGCCCAAATAGCCTCCTGGTGATTAATCTTTATAAGCACGCAAATAGGCACGCATTTTATCTCTATCGCTGTTAGATTCTTCTTCCTTGACCTTCATGCTAAGATGATCCTTTAAGGTGTATCGTAATGAATCTAGCAATGTAATTCGCTATAAGGAGTGGCATTCATCCTTCAGTCATTTCTGAGCCGGATGAAGATGTCAGCACTTAACTCCTTTGTTTGCATTTAAAATTTGATCACCAACGCATCTCTCGAATATAAGGCTCCCGAATCAATAGTGGCAGGAGAAATGATTTTTCTTCCTTTTTTTTTTTAGACATCTCGCGGCTATAAAGATGGCGGTAACATAACTACTTATTAAGAAAGCTGATCTCCGATATGAAAGCTGATGTGAGATCTTTAGGTTGAGAAGAGTTTGCTATTCTTATTAACACGATATTCGTTTTTGTCTGATACTAGTTTTTATTTTCTCTTCTTTTTGATCTTTTGAAATCGTTCATTTTTTATGTTTTAAAAAATAAGAAAGCTATTTGCAATTTGAATTTATTTTTTTCTTCGCAGGAACTGATGGTTGTTCACAAGAAACGTTATCAAAGAAAATTATATAAGCATTAAGAATATATATCGCAGATTTTGCAAGTATATTTTTAACTACAGATAAAAAAACGCTTCTGTTTGTAATAAATTAACAATCAGTCACATCAATTTTGTACTTTAATTCCTCTTGCCTTTTTCATTTTTCGTAATAATAATTCGGATAATTTGCTGCTGTAGTAAAATCGATATTTATATTAACTATATGTAATTGTGGCAACGTACCACCACAAAACAACCAAGTCATGATCTTATGGAATTTAAACATCAAAAGAGACCGCATCCATCAAACCAAACAGTCGTTGAAAAATTACAAGAAAATGCCTTCTCATCTATGACTTTCATGAAAACAACGTCATCAGTCTTGGCCATTCACTCAAAAGCACGCGCACACAGACACATCTGTTTCTGATGACCATAATATCAAGGTCAAAGAAATGTAAAATCTTAAAAAGTACACTGACTTTCGGATTGAGGTTGCCTGAATGTAGGACTTCCAGGCCACTATTGTCCCAGTTATCGTTGTGGCGTTGGGAGTCTATACCATCGAACCTAAAAGAGCTACAGTAAGAAAATCGGGATAAAGCCTAGTATGTCATCGCTTCAGAAGTCTGTGCTGCTTCACTTTGCAAATATTCTGCGAAAGGTGCCATCTGTTTGAGGTCATAAGATTTGAGAACAACCATAACGCAAGATCTCCGGTCGAAAACGAAAAACCACTCGGAAATAGGGAAAATAATAATAATAATAATAATAATAATAATAATAATAATAATAATAATAATAATAATGTGGAAATTTCAAAATTGTGTCACAAGAGGACATTAATAATTCCAGTTGTAGTTGGGGCCCTTGGATTGATTGGAAAAGGTTCTGAAAGACTCATTGAACGGAGCTCGTGGAGCCCATGCCTTAAATAAATACAAAAAAATTGTACTCACAAATATATCGCATCCATTACAAAGAGCTTTATCTATGTAAAATTTGTATGATCTTAGTTTTTTGCGGGGCGGGGGGTAAGAAAAATGATCAATGGAAAATGTCATGATGCCATTTCTGACCTTAGATCTCTGGTTGAGACCCAGAAGGAAATGAGTATACAACAGAAATCCATGGAAATAATAAAAAAAACAATAAAAACCGGATAAAACCAGCTGCAAACTAGTACAAACAATCATTCTGAATCTGTAGTTGAGAGAATAGATGTTACCATTCTCTGTGATTTTTCTATCTGCACAGATCAAACAATACAACCAAATCGATCAGACATTATTATCAAGGACAGAAAAGAATAAAGTATGCACACTGATTGACAGGAGAGTACTAACAGAAAAATTCCAGGAAATCCCCAAAAAAGTACTCACAAGCACAGCCCATATCTTGCGATGAGCTTCATTTAAGTTTTTGTTAGTAGCTATGTTTTGTTTGATTAAGTGGAAACATCATGGGAAGTGGAAATATCTTTGTTTTCCCTACGTCATTGGTTATGACCCGGCATGGGGTTATAAAACAAATGTTGATTAAAAAGAAATTTTAAAAAAATAATCTGACACTGGAAATAATTAGGATGAGTTGTAAATGTGAGAAACTCTTGAGGGCGGCGGGAAAACTGAAAAGATGTTGAAGATTTGAAGAGATTTGCTGTTACGCAATCTCAATCGATAACCAACAACATTTGATGGGAACATGTAAATGATAGTGTTAAAACTAATCAGTTTCCTGTATATTCATTTTTTTCTTGCTATACAATAGCGTACTTTTTCACCTAAGCAACGAAACGACTGTTCCATTCTTTTGAAATTATTTCATAAATAATTCAAATTAATATCCTGATCTTGTTTTTACCATTTCATTTCAGTATGGCATTACTTTTCTTTCTTTATTTTTTTATTTCTTATCCTCTCTCTCTCTCTCTTTCTCTCTCTCTCTCTCTCAGTTTCTGTCTCTTTATATTTCTCTCTCTCAATGTATAGATATTTTCTATAGATATATGTTACAGCCGATTGCTTTTGAGTGTCGTTTTAATTTTTTTTTCAAACGGCACTCAATGACAACAGGATGCAAGATATATGTAAAGAATTCAGTAGCACTGCGAAAAAGACGATGTGAGAATAATTGTCTGATTAATTCGAAAAAGCATCATCTCGAGAATTTTAAACAAGATTTACTTTACTGAATTGCTCTGTAAATTTACACGGATGACATGACTTCAATGCATGTCTTCATTCGCCATTTTTCCCTGTTCTCCACACACGAAAACTTACAGAAAATGTTTCATAAAATATAAACATACATGTCATTTTTAAGGAAATTTTTATATAAAGTTAATTAAACCATCTCGAAATGGATCAAATTGTATTAAGACAACATATACAGTACCGTGCAAAAGTCGTAGGCAATTTAAAAAACTATTGTAAATTTCTAATAATTGCCATCTTATAAGCGCATGTTTTTTTTTAATTGTCCTATCTGCATATGAAACATTGCCTATATTGGAATCATTTCCTAATTATTATATTTTTAGTAAGGGTTCTGAATAAGCAGAGAAGATATAAGACGACACAAAAAATGGCCGTGCAAAAGATTTTGGCCACCCCATACAAAACAAATGTGAGTGTATTTAAACAGAAAAATGTCTCTTATGAAAACTGATTATATAAAGTTCATTTTAAGAACTTAATGCACATTTTTAATATTTTGTGTGGCTTCCTGTAGCTTAAATAATTGCTTCAGTGCACCTAGGATGGGGTGTGTACAAATCCTTTATCATCTTCACATGTGCTATTCCCTGCAGTTGGACTCCCACAACTCAAGATTGCGTGGGTGCTTCTGATGAAGTCTACTCATTAGTTCTGTTAATATTTTATCTATGATTTAAATCAGGGTTCTAATCTGGCTATTTTTTCAATATAGTGGCACGTTCATTAATCAATCTGCGTTGTGTTGCATGCAGTGTATGATATGAAACTTCGTAATGCCAAAAAATCTCGCCTTCATCCAAGTCTTGTATTTCTTCAGAAGTAAGATATATTTGGCATTATTCAAACTGTCGTTAATTTTAACAAATTTTTTGAGCTATCCCTCTTTATCCAACTCTGAAGCGACTGATTCTTATCCACAAAAATTCATTGTTTTCATTTTATAACGTGGGTGACATTGCATTCATGTCGGCCTTCTGAAAAATTCCCACTTATTAGAATCTAGCTCTATCTTCATTTCATCGTTGAATGGGATCTTATCCCCAATATTCGCATCCCACAATTCATGCATCTTTGACCAACTTAATGCTGCCTTCAAATGCTTTTTTTTTATTTAGAGTGGGTGTCTTTGTTTAAATGTATCTCTTCATTCCATGTTCTTGTAGAATACACTCAGTGTTATTTACGAACAAAAAGTCGCACTCATCCATCAATTGTCTATCAGTCAATGAGCTTATTGCTGTCCGGATCAGTTTCCGTATTATTCTATGCTGTAGTTTTCTAAACCGATGATAATTTGGTTGATTCAAAACATTTCTAGTGCTTTGAGACTTCGAGAGGATTTCTGGAATGCCGCTTTTTGACATTACAAGTTCCTTAACGATTACTTGGAGGTTCATATTCTTGCCTATCTTCACTATCTGCATCCTGGTTTCTTTGGAAATTTTCTTCATGATTTCATGTAATGAAAGAATGCAGACATTTGATGTCAAAATTTACCCTATATGTGGGAAAAATCTGTACTGTTTGGAAAATATTTGCCTCTTAGCAATGGAGTAGAAAAGAGAAAACATAAAAAGTCAGGTAGCCGAAAAATGTCTCGCATCTTCTCTGTTCATTCAGAACTCTTGCTAAAAGTATCATAATTAGGCGTGAGAATGACTCCAATATGGCCAAAGTTTCATATTTAGACAGCCTAATAAAAATGTGCTTATAAGATGGCATTTATTAGAAATTTGTAATAGTTTAAAATTTCCTAAGACTTTTTGCCCTGTACTGTATATATGTGGTAAAGCTAAAATACGATAAAAATGACATATCGTTACATGAATTCGTTCCAAATTTACATTTCATAAAATGAAAAATAAATATTTAATTGAAAAATCAGCGTGTCAGCAGCTGAAATTGTCTGTCAAGACTAGTAGAGTTATGGTTGCAATCGGGTGTAAATCAATATTCTTTTGATTTTCTGTTCCCGTCTCTCTCTCTATCTATCTCTCTCTTTTTCTCTTTACACAGACACAGCATGCTCATGCGTATTACACGCAACACGCACAAACACAAATAAACATATATATTTATATATATATATATATATATATATATATATATATATATGTGTGTGTGTGTGTGTGTGTGTGTGTGTGTGTGTGTGTGTGTAACACACAGACAAATACACATAAACATATATATATATATGTGTGGGTATTTGTGTATAACAACCATACATAGTCTTCTTGGATAGATTAATACTTAAGGATATCCAGTTATTATTATTAGTAGTAGTAGTAGTAGTAGTAAGAGACGGAATCACGCCAACTAAGTAACACTGTGGTATCAATATACGAAGGCCTACATATCCATGATGATATCAGGCACATGTAATACAGCCCAAATCCGTGGGTATGTTGACAGGTTTCGATTTTTTTAAAAAGCGCATAACCTTGCAGCTAGAGTCTAGATAGAAATTCCTTTAAGTCGGCTAACCCAGTCTACTCAGTGTCCCCAAGTATCTAAATCTGACTGCCAAGTCGATATGATCTTTTTAAGATCAGGCCACTGACAAGTAAATCTGTGATCCTTACTGTCGCCTATCTTAATTCACTAATACAAAACATTATACATGTTAACACCATCAAGTACTAAAGATCAAAAATGTAGCCTCAGGGCAATTATTATTATTATTATTATTATTATTATTATTATTATTATTATTATTATTATCTCTTCTCTTCTTCCATGCGGTTTTTTTTTGTTTTTAACCGGAGATCATGCCTTATAGGTGTTCTCCATGAAGTCGTACAACCACAGATATCACCTTTCATAGAATATTGACGGAGTCAAGCAACACAGACTTCTAAGGCAATGGTATACTTGGCTTTACCGTTATAACTAATACTAATACTATTATTATATTTGGATTTTTATTTTTACACCAGATTTATGATGCATGTTGTTGGAGATTGAGCGATGCTAATTCTTCACAAATCTCCAACACCTTCCTCAGTAATCTGACTGTCCATAGTACCGCCATGATCTGGGCAATCTCAATACTTCCTCAAATTTTCCAATATTGCTACTTATTTTTTGGCATCGCTACAGTTGTATCATTTATTATGTTGTTAACTTTCATACGTTAACTAAACGTTACAGTAAAATATTTTAATATCATTATCATTTCAATAGACCTTTGACTTGGCTTACGGTTTTATAGCGTTGAAACACCTGTTCCTAAACGATCACTGAAGTTAAGCAACGTCGAGCCTGGTCAGTTCCTAGATGGGTGAACGCTTGGAAATAGCAGGTGCTGTAAGCTTGGATGTGCAGCGGGTGTAATGGATAATCGCTCAGAATTGTTAATCGGAGAGCCAAGTTCCAATACCAGTTAGATTGGTTATATTCACTTACGCGCAAATTCCCTTTGAAAAGCTATGAATCCATCTCTTCTACCCCCAACTATGGCTTAATTAGTAAGACTTGTTTCAGGAAATAATTATTACTTTCAGTAATTAATTATAAATAGTTAATTATGATTATTAATTATATTTAATTAATTAAGTATAATAATTAATTAATTCATATAATTATTATTATATTATAATTAATAATATAATATAATATAATAATTAATATTATAATATATTAACAATTAATAATAATATAATATATTAATAATTATATTATAATATATTAATCATATCATATTAATTATAATTAATAATTAATGATTATATTTAATTAATTATAATTATTTAAAATAATTATTTCCTTCAAAACAAAATTATTGCAATTTAAAAATATTTTCTGGTGCTAAATAACCTACAAATGGTTGATAAGCGGTTGAAAATGAATCAATCAAAATTTCTGTTTTGCGTGTTTTTACTTTCACTTAAAACTTCTATTTATCACATTCTTTTTTAGAAGAAAATACGAAACAATATTAATGTTCCTCTTATTACGGGCACCGCTATCATGTCTATATACCACCCACCCTATGGGCCTCTGAAGATAATTTCTTTCCAAAGTTCTTTGTCTTTAAAATCTTAGTCGTCTACCAGCACCAATACGCCTTGTATTTGACAAGCAGTAACAGTGATTTATAACACCAAAAGAAGAAGAAAATTTGCGAACAAGACTGATTACTAAACTGACCAATAATTTTATTGCTCGAGGGAATGGGAAACAATTAAATGCGATACCTTGGGAAGTTAGTTTTCAAGTAATCCAACCACCGACGATTATTTCAAGCAGTAATGAGCTCACACTGTTATAGCTAACGAACTCATTTCGTGTTGATGACTTATAGGAGGCTCGTAATGGCGAATTCGACCCACCACCCCAACCCGATAATTGATTTTAGTAAGGTTCTAAAATCTACAAATGATTTGCATATGCATTCCAACAACAGAGGTCAGTCAGGGGACAGATTCCAATCTCGCTGCTTCCCAATGTGAAACAAATATGAGATCTTAGTTCTTAGTCACGTGCTTTTGATGGATTCGTATGATCGAGTTGACAAGATAAAATGGAGGAAGGAAAGAAAAAATGGATTCTAAAGACCGACTGCAATACACACTCGCGAAAAGGGATTGAAACATTGTGTTCAAACTAACAAAAAAGCTATAATAAACCGAATAATATACAAAGTAAAAACAAGTTTGTTTCAACAACTGTTGATTAAAATATAATCAGCGCCCTGCACAAGTATTCGCAAACCCTTGAAATTTTCCACATTTTCTAGTGTTATTAATTCAAATTTAAAAACTTAGTGTTATTTTATTTTTCTCCATGTTGTGTATAAATACGAGTTATTAAATAAAATTTCTACACTCGTCTCAATAAAGTTCTTTACGGATTGAAACGCATTGGTATAAAAGATATTCATCTTGTCTTTTCTTTTAAATATACACTCGAGGTATAGGTTACGTTAAGAAGGGGTAGTTTTATAGGATGGGAAGATAACGGTTAACTCCTAGACTTGAACAGGTTAAGAGTGTAGTGATTGGGGAAATATCCTCTTGGGAGTCTGTTCTGCTGGCCGTTGGAGTTGGTCGTTCTGATCTGCGCCCCGCACCGATCCACGTTGTGTTGATTGATCACGGAGCTGGCAAAGATCGAGTTATCGTCGGCAATTTTAGCGTTGGTTCGATCCCGGCGAAGCGACGTCACAAAGAAAAAATAAGAACATTCTTCAAACGAAATTAAAAAAAGACAATAATTTCTTCAGAGTCTATTTCTATGCAGTTTATATCATTCTTTGTACAGAAATATTAATCCTCCCCACTTTGAATTCTATCTTGACACGTCTCTAAATTTAGCTAAGTCTGGAACAAGGCTTAAGTCGGAAGTTCTCTCTGGCAGCAAGTCACGTGGGATTCGGCAGAGTAATTGTCTCTCGTCGTCTGCACTCTGAAACTGGGGTCTCTGGAACTCTCGTCTCTGGAACTCTTTTGGTCGCTTCAGTGTTGTGCTTATATTGACTCTCACCCAAATCTGGCGTTGGGTCGACTTGGTTAGGGGACCCACTGTTTCTCCTATCTTCAAACAAAAGTCCTGTGTTGTCTGACTCGGGGAAAATTAATTATATCTCCAAATTTGGGGAGTTCCTTTTTCCTATGGGAAGCGGTTACAGCTATCGATCCGCCTTCCTTCTCTTATTTGTGACTTAGTTTCTGGTCATAAATTAGAATTAGAATTAGAATTTTAATTTCTCGTCACCAGATTTTTCCCAGCCTAACCTTATTTATACAATCAGAAATTTATCAGCTGTTTCCTCCGGTCAGCTTATCTCCATATCTTGATTTCTCTTAGTCGAACCACAAAATCCTTTTCTCTGGGAATGTTTGCACAGCCCGCTGAGTTTTGACAGCAATCGCCAAATAGTTTTTCTCCACTAGGCTTAGCGTAAAAATTACCGAATTTTATCTCTCGATTGGTGTCCTTTCCCGGCTGATTCCTAGGAACTGTTTTCTTAACGTCCACTTTAAGGCAGTGCCATCAATCATTTGTCAGCCCAGCTTCCTCTGGACGGTCTCTGTGGTAATATCTTTCCAACATTGTTATTTCTTCAAGCCATCTCTGCTTAAAAAAATAGACTTTTAAAATTAAAAGAAATGTCGATTCTTTCTTTCAGTCTGTCTATCGTTCCATTCTTTAAACCTTTTTGTTAAAAGTTATATTTTAGCTTTAACCCTTTTTAACAACAGTACTACATTTTTGGCTTGATCAGACTCTTAAAAAGAGATAGGATAGCATAAGGAGTCAGGGCGATACAGGGGACTGACCATTTTACATGGATCTTTAGCGATAGATCCCTGCTGGGAAATTACAGTTAGATCGGAAGAGAGATCAGCTGCCAATCTCTGATCGTCAAGAGTTTTAGGGGTGCGCCCGTATATCGTCGTATCCTCGGCATAGATATTTACAAATGATTTGAGTATATTTTTAGGCAGATCATTTATGTAAATCAGAAAAAGGGTTGGTATGAGAACTGACCCCTGGGGACCGCCTGTTAGAAAGGATTTTTTAATTGAGTAATCTCTTCCAGTGATTCTATTGTCAGAGAGCTTGTGTAGCAAACCTTTGTGTCACACCTTGTCAAAGGCACTTGCGGTGTATGTGTGTCGTCAAAGGCCTCAATAAATCTGTGAGTAATGGCAGTTACTTGTCGCATATATATATATATATATATATATATATATATATATATATATATATATATATATATATAAATGTGGTCTGAGGAGCTATAATCTGTAGTGGTAGGGATGAAAAGTTTTATATTGGAGTTACAGAGGGGATGTGGAAAACAATAAAAAAATTTACAGAAATGCCACGACTTTGTCCACATACGATTGGCTAACACGAAACACGGGCAAGTCAGATCACATAATTGAGTGTAAAATCTTGTGTACTGAGCATGTTCTAGGGCAATAAACAAGAGCAATAAAAGTAACTTGTGTATGGCTGAAAAACTAGCGATCTTGCAGAACGTGGGAGATGACAAAAATGCTAGAGAGAAGGCAAGAAGTCATGCCCACCTGCAAGCGTAAAAATATTTTTTTGATTAAAAACATTGGCATGGGCAATCTTAAAGCGTTTATGTACCTGCTTGTCTTTCTCCATATATACACCCTGGTTTGGGCACCTCGGGGTGGTGTAATAGTTAGTAAGCTTGTCTCACTAAAACAATTACGAATGAGTAGTGAGTTCGATCCTCACTGGGTGTCCCTTACTTTCGGCCTTGTGCCACATCCAAGCTATGCTTGGAAAATCACTATATACACCCTGGTTTTATATGGTGGTAATATATGTGGATAGAAATAATCTCTCTTTTTGAACTGGGATCAGTAAACCGAGTTCAAATACTGACTAAATCTATTACGTTCACATTCATATTAATGACTTTGGGAAAAACATGAATCCATATCCTCTACACTCAGTTCTGCAAGGGAGACTCGTCAATCTCTCTATGACAGCCAGTCTTCAAGAAGAACTACTCTGAATATAAAATCGTCGAAAACCACTATCGTTTCCAAGAATTCATAACAATTGACATATATTAAAAGTAAAAGGAGTTTAGGGAGAGACATGATCGCCTACGAATAAATCACTATATCAGATTGTATTATGCAATCAATATTTACACAATAAAATTGGTATTAAGCAACTTTCAGGATCTACTTATATTTATATCTAAATAAATGAAGGGCAAATTCGTGTGTCAGTAACCCCTCTAAATCGGACTATACTTGAACGACATAGACATATTATACCTTTATGGAATCGGGATGATTGAAAATCTGCCCCTCATTTGGTGCTTGAGCATCCAGATTTGGGATTTGTGTCCAGGTGAGAAGAGAACAGTTAAAAATGTTAAACTAATATAAACAACGATTATAAACAAAGAGAAACGAGGCCGGAGGTTTATAACGTTGGCTAAAGACATGAAATCAACTAAATTACCATCTTTAAATAAATATCACAAAGACTGATTAATTGATACGTTTCTACAGCTTATCAACGCTTTGGAGATTATTTAAAGATTTATTTTTCAGTTGTAAGACTTTTTTTTTGAAGATAATAATGATTTAGTCATACAAGTCAATTAACCCATAGCTGGGGGAGAAGATGTGAATTCATAGCTTTCTCAAGAACATTTGCGCGGAAGTGACTATAACGGACCCAACTGGAATTAGAACCCGGCTCTCCGATTAACAATTCCGAGTCATTATCCATTATACCACCCGCATACAGAAGCTTACAGCACGTGGTATTCCCAAGCGGCTCCCATCTAGGTACTGACCAGGCTCGAGGTTTGCGTAACTTCGGTGATCGTACAAGAACCGGAGTTTCAATGTGATATAGTCGTGAGCCTTGTCGAAAAGAGAAACGTGTAAGTTGGGCCAATGAAAACCGATTCACCGATGGGTGATAAATGTATTGCTACTTTGAATGGATAGAGATTGGGGCCCTTTATGGAAATAATCAACTAACAGTTATCTTTTGAGCCACTATTGTTCCCAATAAAAATAATTGGTCCCTTCAAAGTTGGTGTCACGATTATGTAGATAATTATAGTAAGGTTTCGGACAAGACTTTTGTCATGCGACGCAAAACACAACTAAGAAGTTTTAAGTTTTGACAATATTCCTCCGCATACTGCAAAGACGAATATTACCCACTTTGTCAAAATTGTATCAAAGAATCCGAATTAATGGAATGGACTTCCAGCCACTCCTGATATTGATACATTAGAAAACATGGGATTCATAGCGGAAAAAGATGTTTATGACATTGGAAAAGCATGTTCAGGCAAAGAAAAAAGATTTGTGTGAAACAACCGCTGAAAGAAATGAGACAAAACAGTAGAAAAGTCATCAAGATCAAATGATGAAAGGTCATGGAGTCCATATAAACATGTACAATTATAAAATAATTTATTTAAATAGGGAATTTTGTGCTAATCAATTATGTTTTTGATTTGCTTATATTTTTTAGATTTATTTATAAATAAAAAAAATCATGTTGCACTTATCGCACTGGCAGCAGCAAAACATGTTATTTTCAATATTTTTAATAAGGCTTGATAGTATAAGGTGAAACTCACGCGATGTATTATTCGGATAAATATAAGAATATCCTGAAAAATTTAATAAATTTGACAGATTAATATAACTTTTATTATGAAATAATTACTTGCATTATATAATATCACACAGGCATGATATGTATACAAGTGTTAACACATAAGTACACACACACACACACATATATATATATATATAAGTGATAAAAATAGTTTTAATGTATGCTATATTTGTGGGTAAAAGTGACCAACATCAGGGATAAAGCGTAAAATAAATATGTAAAATATAAAAGTGGACATTGACGTCGTCATCGAGCGGCAACAGACTGCTTATTGCTTGAACGCAATCTTCTTGGCCTGAATATTTCGCTCAAGCATGAAACAGACCGACGCCGTTCAGTGTTGACCTCAGTATCCACTTTTATATTTTATATTGGTAATATATATATATATATATATATGTGTGTGTGTGTGTGTGTGTGAGAGAGAGAGATAGAGAGAGAGAGACAGAGAGATAAAATTCAAATTTGAATAAAATATATCTGTAAAAACACAATATTAATAAAGACGAAAAGAAAATGTATTTACCAGTGCGTTTCCTCCTCTGATAGAGTTTATCAAATTTGATAAAGTCCATTAGAGGACAAAATGCGTTGATAAAGATGTTTTTCTTTTGTGTTTATTCATTTATATATAAATCTCTGTAATGAATATAAAACGTTATTTTACACAAGGAATATTTAAATGTTTATTTTTAACATAATCACTTTCCTTGTCACTGCATTTAATTCAATGGTGAATCAATGAGTAACAATAAAATAACAGTGAAAATTTCACATTAAAAATCACCTACTTTTATATGATGCTACGAACTAATGATACACCACATAAACACACACACAAATACATGTGTGTGTGTGTGTGTGTGTGTGTGTGTGTGTGTGTGTGTGTGTGCGTTTTGTGGGCATGTGTGGGGTGCGTTTTTTTATTATTATTATTATTATTATTAAGCTCTTCACTTTCAAATGCAAGCAAGCCGATCATTGGGAAGTGGCCTGCTCACGAACCGATAAGGCGGAAATGTGGACAAAAGACGATGATGAGTTGCAATGAGGACTCGGTTGTGTCCAAATCGATCGATCGGCCGGTTGGCTGCCTTATCCCTTTCACCCAACGTCCACAGCGAATGGCACAAGTCAAAAGGCGACCAAGAAATCCAATCTGTTCGCTTAACTTTCCCACAGGCAACATAAGCCACCTTCGGCTGAGTTGGGAAGAACGACGGAATGAGAGTGGTAGTCTTGGCAACCGACTAAGTCTCACACATGACGCTCAAAGATATTTATGCTCATAAGCAGATCAGCGCACATACATAGAAACATAAAAAATTATAGATACAAATACGTATACACGCACTTACATATGCTTGTTCGACTAATTCAGGTTTAAATAACTGTATCATTTTTTTCCATTTTTTTTTTTTTTTTGCACATTAAAATTTGTGTCGGTCGTCTTTATTACTTTATGCTGAACTGGTATATAGAATGCAATGGTTTCCTGATAGTGTTATTACGTACAAACAGGTATTCATTTTTAAATAGGTATCTACCATTGGTTCTTTGTTAGATGTGCTTCAGTAAATCGTAAGTTTGATATCCGATGTTTTAATTCTTGTAGAAAAAGATGATGTAGTTTCTTGTCGCGCCAAAGGCTAATACAGCCTAAGTGTTTTACTTAATGATATTCCTAATTAGCATGTCAGTTAGAAATATCATCGTTGTTGTTTGAGGTTGAGAAGGTGTTGTGTGCTGATGAACAAAAACTACAGGTGTTGAATTGGTTGGGAAAATATACAATGAAGAGAATGAATACAATGAGATAGAAATCTTTATTCTATCGGGAACATTTAGCGTGGAGAATGTTTAAGGATAGTTCCTGAAAGAAAGTGTAAATTCAAGGAATGTTCTTATGGCAGTCCCTACAAAAAAAGAAGAAGAAATGTGTGAACTTCCTCTGTTGGTGAGTTAAAGAGTGTGATGTGTCTTGTCTAAATCATGTGCGTTTGTTCTAAGTTTGGCGTCCTACCTCGAATTCAACACAAAAGAGGGCTAGCCTCTTCGGATTCGTATGCTTCCATTTTTTATGCAAGCCCCCAAAAAGTTGGAAAGGGTTTTCAATGCATGCGCATCTGGCTACAGTTCAAACAAGTTAAAGTAAAACTGCTCGGAATAATTCTTGAGGAAAAAAAATTAAGAGTGTAATAATAAGGCTTCCACAGATTTATTGTTTCATAATCGGTAATTGGCGGTATCAGCATTTACCGATTATTTAACGGGTATTAGTTTTGTTTCTTTGTTTTGTTTTCTGTTTTTTGTTTTGTGTTTTTCGCTGATTAATCAGATTTCATAATCAGTCATCTTTGCTTATGATATCAGACATTTTATCTCTGATTTAAGAATAGACAGTTATTTTAGACACAGAACGAATTTAAATAATACTCTAATAGTTCTCATCAATTCTTTCTTTCTTTTTATAAACTTTATTGAGGGCAAATAAATGACCGTAAATTACCAATCCTCAGCCAATTAATCGATGCGAACCTTCTTCAAATACCGAAAATGTTTTCTGAATTGAAGAGATGAAACATTGTCATTGTTCTATGACCCTCTCCGACTGATTTCTCCATCTTTCTTGTTTTGCTCACCACAAATGTTTTAAATAAAATATTGTAACTATTACGCAAAGTCTTCTCTTAGTTGTTTTTATTATAATGTTTCAGTCTTCGTCATCTGTATGTAACAATATTTGGATGTCTGCGTGTGCGTATGTGTGTGTGTGCGTGCGTGTGGAAGAGTGAAAGAGGGCGTTATAAAAACCAAAGAAAATGAAGATACTAGTCGAGTTAGAAATAATTATTTTCGTTGAGTTATATATATTGACACATAGGCATTGACGATAAAGTGAGATTATATTGAAAAATAAATTCTCACTGCGTAAAATAGCTGCTTTTTCTATCATTAAGCCACACGCAAGCATGCACACAAACACACGTGTTTGAGAGAAACTATTTTAAGAAAAGAAACATTCGATGTCTGTTTAAATGATCCGTTGTTTTAAGTTTTCAGAATGTCCTTCTGGAGTCAGTCATAGTTGGTATTGTCAAATAATGCTAAATCTCATAAATGCATAGGGCGTTCATCTGCCTCTTTATCCAATCAATCAGTCTTTAATTGTACAGATGTCTTTTTTTTTCTTTTTTTTTTAAGCATTTCATTACAAGGCGGGAAGCCACTGGCACACAAGGGGTTACAGAGGATTTGGTGCGAGAGTAGATAGGAGTTATAGAGGAAAGGATGAGGAGAAGGATAGTGGATAGATCAAGGCAACTGGAGATGTCGATTGACATTACATTTGAATAGTTAGAGATTATAGCTATCAGGGAAACAGGAATAGAGAAGGGAGTTCCACAGGCGAGAGGTGCGAGATATGAAGCTATTGGAGTAGAAGAGACGGCTACATTTAACAGTTTCAACAGTGAAAGCGGGATGCCAGCTTCGTAGGACTTGAATTTGCGAAGTCTTGGAACCAGCGAAAGTATTTGTAAAAAAAGACAGAGAGAGGCGACGGCACGTCTGTGAGAGAGCGACTGCAGACGAGATGCCAGATCAGGGCCAATTACATTGCATATCCGTCTCTGGATCTTATCAAGAACCTCGAGGCAAACAGAAGGGGATCCAGACCATATATGGCAGCAATACTCCATGCAAGGGCGAATGGTTGATTTGTAGATTTGAAGGATCGATTCCGGGGAGAAAAATTTCCTGTCGTGGCACAGGTAGCCAACTTTCCTTGCGGTGGACGAAGCAATTGACACAATGTATTTGTTCCATCTCAGGTCAGCAGACAACGTGAGACTGAACAGCCGCAATGAGGTGCTCTCGAGAAGTTGAGCGTCAGAAATTCTAATGGGGGGCGGTAAGGATCTCTGTGGTGATTAATAGAGAGCAGTTTTGTTTTTGAGGCGTTAAAGTTAACCAGCCAATTCCTGACCCAGTTCACAACCGATTGGAGGTCCTTTTCGAGACGAACGGCCAGTTGGCTCTACCTTTTGAATTTAAGGCTTCCTCAGAAGGAATCATGTAACGTAAGATCTAGTAAACACAATGGGCGTTCATTATTGTCTCTTTGTCCAATCAATCTGCCTGATTTTTTAAAAATATCATTCATCAAAAAACAAACAAACCAAAAGTCACTATAGGTAGAGGGCTACTAAATGAGGATGT